ACTTTATATATGCTTAAAGAGAATTGAGTTGACATTCGTCCAATTGCCTTTTGGCAGATGCAATTAAGTGGTTGTCGATACGAGCTATGCCCCGATATCTTCATATCTGGTATCCTGACAGGGGTTAAGCCGACATATGCGTCATCTAGCATAACTCGTATCGTTCGCCTTTGGAAAATTTCTAGAATACGTGCATCTACTCCTACCTTTAAACTTTCTCTTCCCTTAACCATCACAGCGCGCCGCCACGCCTTGTGGCTGTCCCAAGTTCTTGTGATCCCGGTTCATTGTACAGGTTACCTTTTTTTTTTCCTTCGTTGTCGTCTTGTTATTCTCTCAAGTTTGATATGATTGTGGCTTGACGCCTTTGATTATCAATAAGATGTTGCGCAACGCGGTAAAAGGTGCAGCTCGGAAAGCTGTAACAGAGCTGTCCCAATACCCGAAGCCCGGAGAGAAACTCCATGGCTTCACTTTATTGAGGACAAAGCATGTACCGGAACTCGAGCTAACTGCACTGCACTTACGACACGACAAAACCGGCGCAGATTATCTGCATATCGCTCGCGATGACAGCAATAATGTATTCTCGATCGGCTTCAAGACAAACCCCCCGGATGATACCGGTGTTCCACATATTCTTGAGCACACGACACTATGTGGTAGCCAGAAATATCCCATACGAGATCCCTTCTTCAAGATGCTTCCTCGAACCCTATCCAACTTTATGAATGCTTTCACTGCTTCCGATCACACCTACTATCCGTTTGCTACGACCAATGCCCAAGATTTCCGGAATTTGATGTCCGTATATCTTGACGCGACCCTACACCCCCTATTAAAAGAGACGGACTTTACTCAGGAGGGTTGGCGTATTGGACCGGAAAATCCCAGAGTTGCAGAAAAGGATGGAGACGTAGGTGCTGAGGATAGCAAGTTGGTCTTCAAAGGTGTTGTCTACAATGAGATGAAAGGACAAATGTCGGATGCAGGATACCTGTTCTACATCCGTTTTCAAGATCACATCTTCCCAGATATCAACAACTCTGGAGGTGATCCACAGAAAATTACTGATCTGACATATGAGCAACTACGCAAGTTTCACGCTGAGCACTACCATCCCAGTAATGCGAAGCTTATAACTTACGGCGACATGCCATTGGCTGACCATCTCAAGGAAATCGACGCCCAGATGCAGGCATTTGAGAAGATCCAGGCAGATATTGAACATAAAAGACCAATCGATCTTAGTGGTGGGCCACGTTCGGTGACGCTATTTGGACCGATAGACCCGCTCGCTGACCCTGAAAAGCAATATAAAACGTCGGTATCATGGATCACAGGTGATACCAGCAACGTGTTAGAGTCCTTTTCCATGGCTCTGCTCTCGTCTCTGTTAATGGATGGATACGGATCTCCGCTATACAAGGGGCTCGTTGAAAGTGGGCTCGGTACGGATTGGAGTCCAAATTCTGGTTATGATGGATCAGCAGCCACGGGAATCTTCTCCATTGGTTTAACTGGCGTCGAGCAAGCTAACGTTGAGAAAATTAAGGATAACATCCAGAGGATCCTTCGCGAAGTTCGCGACAAGGGTTTCGAGAGAACAAAGATAGAAGGATATCTCCATCAGCTTGAATTGAGCCTCAAGCATAAAACCGCCAATTTTGGGCTTTCGGTGTTACATCGCTTGAAGGGGAAGTGGTTTTCCGGAACCGATCCCTTCGATTCTCTAGCATGGAACGATACAGTGGCGGCTTTTGAAGCGAAACTCGCCGAAGGCGGCTATCTAGAAGGGCTGATGGATAAGTATCTCCTCAACGACAACACACTTACGTTTACGATGGCTCCTTCGGAAACGTATGGCGCGGAGATTGCGCAAGAAGAGAATGACAGGCTGCTAGCTAAGATTTCTGAAGCAACTCAACAAGCCGGCGGGGAACAAGAGGCCCGAAAGTTTTTTGAGCAGAGAGAGCTTGACTTACTTGTTGAGCAAAATAAGACGAATACGGAAGATCTAAGTTGTCTACCAACTGTTCACGTCAGAGATATCCCAAGGCAGAAGGAACCTGTGGTCGTAAGGGATGAAGCGGCACACGGTACTACTATCCAGTGGCACGAAGCCCCTACGAATGGCCTTACCTACTTCCGAGCTATCAACACACTTGAAAATCTACCTGACGAGCTTCGTTCCCTAATTCCCTTGTTCACCGACTCTATTATGAGACTGGGAACGAAGGACATGACTATGGAACAACTCGAGGATCAAATAAAGCTCAAGACAGGAGGTATTTCTGTTAGCTATTTGTCGACCGCATCGCCAACAGATTTCCGCCAGGCATCCGAGGGTCTTTTATTACGAGGCATGGCGCTGGATCGTAATGTACCCGAAATGTTCGATCTACTACGTAAACTCATCCTGGAGACCAACTTCGACAGCCCAGAGGCAGCTCTTTGGATAAGACAATTACTCGAAGCCGCAGCGGATGGTGTAGTAAATGATATTGCTTCTTCCGGTCATTCATACGCCCGAAAATACGCCGAGTCTGGTTTAACACGTGAAGGCTATCTCGCCGAGCAAGTGAGCGGTTTAACCCAAGTTAAACTCATTACGTCACTGGCTGGACGACCAGAGACGGACAAGTTCGAAGATATAATCGAGAAACTCAAACAGATACAGAAATTTGCGATAGCAGGTACCAATATTCGCACAGCATTAACATGTGGATCTGATAGCGTCCAAGCCAACTCCTCCGCGTTGTCTCGTTTTATGGCGTCTAGACCAACTGATCCTGTAAAGTTTCCCGCTACCGGGAAGCAGACATTTACGAGAGACATCAAAGCGTTTTTCCCGCTTCCTTATCAAGTCTACTATGGTTCTCTTGCGCTTCCAACTACCTCCTACACATCACCGCAAGGCGCACCACTTCAAATTCTAGCGCAACTTCTAACTCACAAACACCTTCACCACGAAATTCGTGAAAAGGGTGGTGCATACGGAGGTGGTGCCTATATGAAGGGGCTCGAGGGAATATTTGGGTTTTACTCGTACCGAGATCCAAACCCGCAGAATACACTTTCCATCATGAAAAATGCCGGTCGGTGGGCAGTCGATAAGAAATGGACCGATCGAGATCTTGAAGAGGCAAAAATCTCGGTTTTCCAGGGCGTTGATGCACCCAAGTCTGTGAGTGCAGAAGGCATGATGCGATTCATGTCTGGTGTCACAGATGAGATGCTGCAAAAGAGGCGTGAGCGGCTTTTGGACGTTTCCAAGGATCAAGTCCGAGAGGCAGCCCAGAAGTACATTGTCGACGCTCTAGCAAAGGGAGAGGAAAGGCTCGCTTTCCTCGGAAAGAAACAGGACTGGGTGGATGACACCTGGAAGGTAAACGAGATAAACGTGAATGGTGCCGAATAACGACCGAAAACGACGACAAGGCGATAGATGTAACAATTAGCTGTACAATATCTATGCATATACCCTTCTCTTACGAATTAGACGAGTTGTATATAGTCCCAGTACTTATGGTCTGGGCTGCTCTGAGTCTCCAGTAGTCGATCACAAAGTGAAATGGCATACCCAACACAGCCCACAACCGTAAAAACACCAGCTCCAGCGTTCAGATACGATACGTCTTCTTGCTCGGAGTCTCCCCTCATGGAGACTCCACCATAGCATGGAGACCACAACAAGACGCGAGATCAAAATCTCCGAGGTAAGGTCTGTAGACAGCATGCCTCGAGAGGCTGTTAGTCACATGAACCGACCTCGCGCTCGTTCTTTCAGACCCGGATTCCTTAGATTTAGGATTCTGGACTATAGAACAGAGTACATGCTTGATAAGAATATGTGTTTATGTGTTATATATAGGCTCGGTTTATGGACTCAACGTATACACCATCCCTACGATCCAGCAAAAAAAGTAGATTCTACCGTGACATCCTTCACCATAAAGCTGTATACCTGTCTTAAGCATATAACTACCTATAGGGTAAGGAAAGACAAAAAGAAATGTGTGACAAGAGTGGGACTTGAACCCACGCGGATTGCTCCATGAGGATGTAGGAATTAAGGTGACCTTAACCTCACGCCATAACCAACTCGGCCATCTTGCCTGTGGATTTTGCCTGTTTTGCCTGATGTGTGACAGACGGGCTGATGGAATGTCCGGACGTTAAAATAGATATAATTACCGCATTACCCCGGGGCGGGGGGGCACGAAATGGCTTAGCCGCGTGCAGATTCAGCAGCTAGGAAAAAGTGAGCAGCTAGCCAATAGTAAGTTGTTAGCCTCCGGGCGCTAGAAAATCTTTGATGGCTGTGCGGTGGAGCTCCGGGCGGCCCACCGTCTTGGAGACTTGGACCATTGGATAGGGCTAAAATTTCGGGTTGTCCGAATAATAGCATTATACAAAATGAAAATGAAAAATGTGAAAATTTTACAACCAGCTAATTCCTATCCTATTTGCCTCCTTCTAGGGCTCTTTATGAGCATGAATTCAGTTTCGGTTTACACAGCGATAATTCTTAAGGCTAAGTAAGAGCTAGATGAATATCGGGAGGTGATTAAGTTACTTATAGTATACCTAGATACCCCCAATGCATAACATGGCTTTGATATATCATATACTTTTCAACAAGTAGTAAAACACCCTGGCTCGCATTTCGACATCGTCTTCCATTGAAATCACACAGTATAATGATACGTAGGCGTTTACTCAGTGATCTAGTTCTCGAATTAAAAGTTCATGAAATCTTACGTTGACGAGATACATGGAATCTGGCCATAGATTTTCAGCCTCATTCTACAATCTTAGACGTCTCTCGTACATATCTTTGAAACGGCCTACAGCCAGACTATGTCAACAAGTCCAACGGGTCATATTCTACATACATGAACCACTTATCCAAGCCTTCGTCAGCTTGGAGCTCGAATTATAGACGAACTTTGGTACCCGTAACCTCACTCAATAACAAGAACCTGATAGGTTCGTCTGGTTTGGTGGTCTAGTGGTATGATTCTCGCTTAGGGTCCACCCTGAACATTGGTTTGCGAGAGGTCCCGGGTTCAATCCCCGGCCAAACCCTTCAATTACAGTCCCTGTTCCATAGAATGTTTTCAAAAGCAGCCATGGGCAGTTCTTTTTTGCTTTGAAAGTTGCTTTTTTGCTGTTCAATATGTTATATAGTCTTAAGTTAACTCTTATGTAAAGAGGGAGGCACTAAAATTTTTACTGAGCATTAACATTCCGGCATTCAACTCCTCGCATTGCTTAACTACGAGTCAATTTTTGTAGACACCTCCCTTTACTACTGCTAAGTAGGATGGTTGAATGTAATGGAGATGCAAGCTAAATGTGTGAAATAGACGTACATATTGCTTCCCCATTTGAGGGGATGTTATGACAGGAACTTCCTGGTGACTTGCCTGGTTGATCAAAGCCAATATAAGACCAGTATCAATGGTTTAAATAACAAGCAAAAACGAAACATGAAAGCCATGGGATAAGGGATAAATCTGTGAATGGAATTGGTGGAAGTGTCTACATTAGGTCTTGGTATATATAGCTTGAGTGGTAACATCTTTTTTGGGGTGCTGAGGTACCATGAGCTATTTCGTTAAAAGATAGAGTACCTTCTCTTCAGAAGCAGCAATGATAGACTACCTAGGTATCTACCACTCCGAGATACGTCTTATGGCATCTGATAATTGCCGCCTTCGAGGATAGGGCCATTCGCAGTATTAGATGATATATTACCGCTTCCGACACTGCCGAAATAAATTGGGATTTCTTAGAATTGTCGAGCACCTATTATTTTGTTCAAATGTGAGATTTAATCGTACGAGGAGTAGGTGATTTTTATTCAACGTACTCAGGTTAATAATCGGAACTCCGACAATGAGCTGTTGTTTAAGCGGGGCATACGGGGGACTCTCCGGTGCCGACCGGGGAAACACCCGAGACTCCACTACTGACTTCCTCCGGGAAACGTAGTCTTCTGGCGATTGGCTATTGTTATCAGCCTCCATCTTAAAAGTAAGGCCGAGTGTGGGCAGTGACCTGGAAGAATAACTATAGTTACAGTATCAATCACCTACCTACTTACTTCTTTGTTTGATAGCGAGCTGGATGTCATGCATAAGAGAAGCGTATGAATAGATGTTGGTAATATTATCTTTAAAGATTTACAGTGTCAGCACTAACAACAGCTCTCTAGCATCTAGGACCTACGTAGCCATATATTGTTGGTAAGACATGATATATAAGGTTCTTCCCTTGTGAAACACGCATGAGGGTGCTTAGTCCATCGATCGATGTAAGATCCGTCTCTTCCCGGTGTTCATACCCATAGACTTGAGTCTAGACTTTTGAATTCATTTTCCTGTCGACTTACTTCCACAAATGGCATTATATCTCTAGCCATATAAGTGACAATTCGTTGTTTTGTACTTTTCCATGGTATCTCAGTCTTCATCAACCAATCTCCACGCAGGGACTTGCCTGCAACTCCGACAGTCTTGCGACCGATGTCACGAGAAAAAGGTCAAATGCGTGCAGCCGCAGGATGTTTCCCATAAAGAGGCTTCTACTTGCATTCGCTGCCGGAAGACGAGAGCTCTTTGTGTTTATAGTGGTATGTTACTCTAGAAGAGTGTTGCCTACCTTCGTATTATATACTTATTACGATAAAATCATGGTGGTCTATACATAACTAGTATTCTAATATTCGACTATAGTACCACAGAGACCGGGTCGTCCACCTGCAACACAAGTGGCAATCAAAGGAACATCACGGACTGGTTCGCAGGACTGTGCAAATACCGATACCATGACCCCTAAGAACTATACGAATACTTATCAAAGTGTTGAAGACTATTCAGTTGGAAAAACAATACGTAGCAGTTCAATTTACACCGATACAGGGCAGAGGAGTTTCAAATTAAGCGAGGTCGAGTCTTTCGGCGAACTTGATATGACTTTTAATACCGAGCATCCATTGTTGCAGTTCCAATTCAACAGCATGGACGTACCAGGATTCCAACCACCGACTCCAGCTCTGAGATTAGACATGCAGCAATTTGGCTCTTCTGAGACAGCATCAGCTTTTGCTCCTTTACTAAGCCTCTGCACTAGCGAAGACGAGGGGGTCAGGACCACAGCTTCGGACTCTATCGACGCACAGATTAAAGACTTGGCCCAGCTGAATTTACGCGTTTTGCAATCTTCTAGAGAGGTTGAGCAGGACTTGGCAACCATGCAGCTTTCGGTATCTTCTCCGAGTTTCAACGGCTTATTTGAAGCTACGGAATTGTTCATAGGACTTTGTCGTCGAGTCTCCGAATTTCAACTTGGCCAATCTCCATTGAACTACATGCCCACGAATGATTATGATTATACATCACAGGGCGAGCTGGATGGCTCGAGTCCAATTGACAGCAGGAGTAATAAATCCCCGATTGATGGAAGATTATGCCCAGACGGTAGCGTGCTACTAATGATGCTTGCATTTCACCATCGGCTCACAAGCATCTTCGAGACCATATGCTCCTCAATCTACTATCAATTACTCCCGACTAACAATACATGGGCCAACCCAAAGAATCACGACTTAATATCTCAAGATGATTCAGAAAGATACCAACATAGTTGGATTAACCAAAGCATGTCGTCATTGCCTACAGGATTCAACACTAATAATAGCTATAACTGGTCGCTGACTTCAACTGCGCAGATTATTATGTTAGTTAGATTGATTCGTCATCTAGCTAATAGGATGAATGGTGTGCTGAGACCATTCATCGAATATCCCATTGAACTAAACACTATGCCCTCACAGATGTCCAGCACGGCTTCGAACAATGAATATACCAGTTGGCCTACTCTGTCAGAGGCCCCTCATTCAGCAGATCTCATCGAAGAGGATCGTTCTACTACATATTTGGACATGGTCAATGTAAATGAAAAAAGTAGAATGTTTGAAAACCCGGAAAGAAATCGTAGCCTAAACAATTCAATAGAGTTGGGAAGGAAGATGAGAGACCTGGGTTGGCTGTATTCGTACATTGATCGTATCGAGAGTCTTGTTGAACAATCTGACCGTGTATAAGGTTAATGGGCTACAGGTTGAGGAACATCCTTAGATCTATGGATATGCTCGCTTGTAATTTAAGGGGTAACTTAGCAAGATCATCACCCGCTTCATAATAGGCACATAAGGTATTTACTCGATAGACACATATAAACTACCAAAACAAATAACAAAACCTGATATTTCTGTTACCCATACATCCACGTTTAGTCGTAAGCACATATCATTTATGCACGGACAAGTTCGTTATTAAAGGAGGCGAATGAAAATGTTGTATTTCAGCAATGAATAGAAATAAATCATTGAACTCGGCTAACAGACTAAAATACTAGAGCAAATACTCCCATAGATAACTTAAGTCATATACCTAGCCCGATACGAACAAAACAAAACAATGGAAGCTATAGGCGTCGTCGAAGTCATTCACACCTCAGCCTTCTTACCAATTGATCCACTCGGACAGAAACTTGCCAGTGTTATTGAAGCATGTCAGGTATCCATCGACGTTGGAGATAAGGTCACCTATATAGTTTTAGAAAATTGTCAGCCGCTACGAATAACTACCTAAGGTCAATAAAGCATCTCCGAGGTCAAACGTACTCAGGTAAACACTGCTATGAGTAACGATATGGGTCTCGGAAGACAAGCAATCGCAGGCGTAATAGGTCCAGGGAAGCTCGTGACCGTTTCCTAGGAAGCATTTCTCACAAGGCTTTCCCGTCCGCGAAGTGTTCAATCCAGTACCAGCATTCGTCGGCACCATGTGGCCTAGTGCGTCGACTGAATAGCATCTAGAGATAGATATTCTCGTTAGATCCCAGCTCGATCGGAAGGGAATACGTTACGTTAGGTTAGGTACTGACAAGTTCAGATCGAGGCGCGTCTTGCGAGTAAACTGCGTGCTGTCGCTATCGCAGTCACCTGTAAGGTCCTGCGGGTTCCCGTTGTCGTCTAATCTGACTTCACCACAGGTCGCGTTATAGCCGCCGACCTTGTCCGCAAGAGTCGCGGCAGTAGAGGCGGCTAAGAGCAGCAGGATCTTTGAAGCGGGAGGAATGTGCATGGTGAATATTTCAAGGACGGATGCACTTGTCACGTATATTGTTTCCTTCGTTTTGCGTCATATCTAGCGGAATCTACGAACAATTATATACCCAACCGTCGCCACTCACAACAATCATTACAGAGGCCTACATGTTACCTGTGGTTCTCAGGCATACTGCAATGTAGCGTCTAAAATCTGCGAGACTCGAGATTTAACGTAGGTAGCCTTGACCAGCTTTGCTTATACGCGTTTAGAAGCTCATCCGTATGGCCAAAAAATTGAACCAGCTACACTGTTCCGATGGAAAGAGTTATTGTAGTAAGCTGGTCGAAGGTTTGGCTGTCTGCTAGTAAGTTGTAATGTTTCGTCAGCATTTCATTTTTCAGGTTTCTAGGGGAATCGGGGATAGGCGCCAGGCTGAACTCACAAATAAAATGTACATACTCGCTGTTATCACATCTTCAATTGTGACCTTGTTCCCTTGGCAGATGTGTTTTCTTTTTCGATGGGATGTAAAAATACACCTCCTTCCAGTTTAAACATATACGCTGAGCCAGTGTTGCTGTAGCTGTTTGGCCCCTCTGCGCTTCGGACGTTGCAGCACGGCAACTGAGGTGACATCGGGGGTTGTTCTGTTCTGGCTCATTCTAGTATTACTATTTGCGGGATCTCAAAGATCTGGCCTTGCTTCTCCGCATAGCCTTCTTCTGTGCGCTATATGTTTACCATACTAGAGTCGTTCATATATTGTCGGGCCGATTCAGAATCGATCATTAAATGACCGATAGATTGGAGATTCAATCACAATGTTAACGTTCGAAGAACATCAAGGTAAGCCAGTCAAGTGTAGAAGGAGGAGATGTTGAATGAAAGTCCATGCCATCCCCTAAACTTTGGGTAGATGCAGGTATGTGGTACCATAAGTAACAATTTGGTACTATTCTGCATCAT